CATGATGAGGGAAATTAATTGTTAGACATGACTGTGCGGGATTTTTTTTTTTGTTTTTTCAAAGGAGAGAAAGAAGGAAGAAGTGTGAGACGAAAGTGGGAAGAAAGAGGCAGGAGAAGAGGGTTGATTATGAGTTTTTCTTCTTTCTTTCTTTCTTACTCTTACTCTTCTTCCTTCTCTTCCTCTTCCTTGTCTTGTTCCTAGTCTCCCCTTCTCTTCTTCTCCTTCTCCTCCCTTTTCTCTTCTTACCTCCCTATATCCTCCTCTTCCTCTCCCTCTTATTCTTTCTCCTCCTCCTCCTCCTTCTCCTGTTCTTCATTTCTGCATTAAAAGGATCTAATTGAAAGGTCGGATAGAAACGATAATGAAATGTTTGATAAAATGATAAATGGACATACGATCAATAAATAAAAATGCACGAATTGAAGAGGAAAAAAACAAAAGAAAAAAAGGAGAGGAAGAGACGAAGAAGAAGAGAGACGAAGAAGAAGAGAGACGAAGAAGAAGAGACGAAGAAGATGAGAAGAAGAGAGACGAAGAAAGAAGAGAGAGAAGAAAGAAATAATAAGAAGGAGAGACATGGATTCAAACACAGAGCACCAACAGGCTGACGACGGGGGCTGACGACGAGGGCTGACGGCGGGGGCTGACGACGTCTTCAAGGAACCTCAAGTGTTTAAGTGGATTTACCTCAAGACATTTTCGGCTGATTTGAAACGATCCACTTTCGCTGCATTATGTCGCATAGGTTTTGGGTCAAGGGCAAGTGTGTGTGGGGGGGGGATGAGGGGAGGAGAGGGGAGGGGTATGTTTGTTGGTGTGTGGGGATGCGTGTGAGTGTGTGGGTTGGGTGGGGGGAAGTGGGTGAGGGATGGGTGGGAGCGTGTGGGTGGGTAGGTGAAGGTGTGTGTGTGTGGTTGTGGGTGGGTAGAGGCGTGGTGTGTGTGTGTGTGTGTGTGTGTGTGTGTGTGTGTGTGTGTGCGTGTGTGTCTGTGTGCTGGATGTGAGTGCAGGTGCGAGTTGGTTCGGCGTGGGTATGAGTGTGTTGCGTGGAGGGTAAGAAGGCATGTGTGTGTGTAGGATATCTTTTTGGGATGCCGTAAGAATCACCACACACACAACACACACACACACACACACACACACACACACACACACACACACACACACACACACACACACACACACAACACACACACACACACACATACACACACACACTTACACACACACGCACGCAAACTTACTTACACTTACACATGCGCTGTCGACAACATGTTGACACACCCAAAGCAAGGTCATGCGGTCGCTAAGCTAACCCACAAAAAAAAGACCATTATCATAATTCATCTTTCGTGAGCAAAGGGAGGGAGGGAGGAATAATAAAAAAAAAAAAAAAAAAAAAAAAAAAAAAAAAAAAAAAAAAATGAATAAAAAAAATGATAATAACAACAACAAAACAATTATACCGGACCGCAGATGGGATGCTGGGAGACCTTAGCATATATCCGATGAACCGCAAAACTGCATTTCATAATTATTGCACGAAAACACGATAGAACGAGATGGGGACGGGGAGGGATTCGAAACGGGTTCGAAACGTGGATCGTCTTTACTGTATGTTTTATATCATATAGTGAATTTACGTAAATATAGTGAATTTAATAGTGAATATATATATAGTGAATTTATATAGTGAATATATATTATATATATAGTGAATATATAGTGAATTTAGTAAATTATAGTGAATATATATATAGTGAATTTATATAGTGAATTTTATATAGTGAATTTTATATAGTGAATTTACGTAAATACAGATAGGCATATACAGAGCAATATGTGCGTATCTGTCTGTTAGATGTCTGTATTTTTATATATCTGTACGGTAGATGTGCATCTCTACACTGATAGATTTGCGTTTATTTCGGTGTATATTCAAGTCCGTTTGATAAATGTTCATTGGGTTCTATCTATCTGTCTATCTATCTATCTATCTATCTATCTATCTATCTATCTATCTACCTTACTAACACATTCCCTCTCCCTCTCCCTCTCCCTCTCTTATCCATCTATCCATCAGTCAATCTATCTGTCTATCTGTGCTTTCATCTATAACAGTCTATCGATCCATCCACCCAACTGCCTATCTCGTCTATCTGTCAATCTATCTATTTATCTACCTCTCTCTCTCTCTCTCTATTACTCTACAATAACCCTCATTAAAAAAAAAAAAAAACGTAATTACAAGCGCCAATTGCGAACTATACGCCGATGAGAGTTGTTCACCCTGTTCACCTCGTTCGCCTATGGTACGACCGTGAATTTCTTTTCCTGCCAACACGAAACACCTGTTCCGATGACGCCCCCTCCCTCTCTCGCAAATACACTCCTATCTCCCGATCTGATACATACATCCTCCTCCTCCATACCCATTCGAAGACCTTCGTGTGCATCG